CCTGGCCAAGCGCAATGTTCATATCGCCTTCCAGCCCACTCCATGGAATCGTCCAGCTTCCGGAAAGCGGCGAACTTTTGTCAACAACTTCTCTGCTGCTGGTGGTAACACTGCTCTTCTACTGGAAGATGCTCCCATACCGGTACGCCAGGGGCAGGACCCCAGGTCATTCCATTTGGTCTCCGTGTCAGCAAGATCACAGTCTGCACTGAAGAACAACGTCGAAGCCCTGGTGAAGTTTATTGACGCTCAGGGCAAGTCCTTTGGGGTGAAAGAAGCCGAATTTCTTCCGAACCTGGCGTACACGACCACCGCACGTCGCATCCACCATCCGTTCCGTGTCACTGCTGTTGGAGCGAACCTGCAATCCCTGCGTGACTCGCTGCATGGTGCTTTGCAACGTGAGACCTATACCCCAGTACCCTCAACGGCTCCTGGTATTGGATTCGTCTTCACCGGCCAAGGCGCCCAATACACCGGAATGGGCAAGGAGCTCTACCGCAGTTGTTTCCAATTCCGCACCACCATTGAGCACTTTGACTGCATCGCAAGAAGCCAGGGCCTTCCTTCTATCCTGCCTCTCGTCGATGGAAGCGTACCCGTTGAAGACCTTAGCCCAGTCGTGGTACAAGTGGGCACTACTTGTGTGCAAATGGCTCTGGTCAATTACTGGACTGCGTTGGGTGTGAAGCCGGCCTTCATTATCGGACACAGTCTCGGTGACTATGCAGCCCTTAACACGGCCGGTGTTCTATCCACCAGCGATACAATCTATCTGTGTGGCCGCCGTGCTCAATTGCTGACGAAGGAGTGCAAGATTGGGACACATTCGATGCTGGCCATCAAGGCGTCTCTAGCAGAGGTTAAACAGTTCCTTAGAGATGAGCTCCACGAAGTCTCTTGCATTAACGCACCAGCGGAGACAGTCGTCAGCGGTCTTGTCGCTGATATTGATGAGCTGGCTCAGAAATGCTCCACAGAGGGTTTGAAGTCAACCAAGCTCCGTGTCCCTTACGCATTCCATTCCTCTCAAGTGGACCCTATCTTGGATTCATTTGAGAATATTGCTCAAGGTGTCACTTTCCACAAGCCGACAACACCTTTTGTCTCAGCCCTGTTCGGAGAGGTAATCACCGACGCCAACTGGGAGTGTCTCGGCCCCAAGTACCTGCGCGATCATTGCAGAAAGACAGTCAACTTCCTTGGCGGTGTGGAGGCTACAAGGCATGCGAAGCTGACTAACGACAAGACTCTGTGGGTTGAGATTGGCTCACATACCATTTGCTCTGGAATGATCAAGGCAACACTTGGACCGCAAGTCACAACGGCTGCATCTCTACGCCGCGAAGAAGATACCTGGAAGGTCCTTTCAAACAGTCTTGCGAGCCTTCATCTGGCGGGTATTGACATCAACTGGAAGCAATATCACCAGGACTTTAGCTCCTCTCTCCAGGTCCTCCGCCTCCCAGGCTACAAGTGGGATCTCAAGAACTACTGGATTCCCTATACCAACAACTTCTGCCTGAGCAAGGGCGCTCCAGTAGCGGCAGTGGCTGCAGGGCCACAGCATGAGTTCCTGACAACCGCGGCTCAGAAGGTCATTGAGACTCGAGGTGATGGAACAACAGCCACAGTTGTAATAGAAAACGACATTGCTGATCCTGACCTTAACCGCGTCATTCAAGGCCACAAGGTCAACGGCGCAGCTTTGTGTCCCTCAGTAAGTTATTGCCCTTGCACCAACTACCGCGTTAAGATCGCACTAACCAAGACATAGTCACTGTATGCCGACATATCTCAGACGCTTGCAGAGTACCTCATCAAGAAGTATAAGCCTGAGTACGATGGACTTGGACTGGATGTCTGTGAGGTTACAGTGCCACGGCCATTAATTGCGAAAGGTGGACAACAGCTCTTTAGAGTATCTGCGACAGCGGATTGGGCGGAGAAGAAGACAACCCTTCAGATCTATTCAGTCACTGCAGAAGGGAAGAAGACCGCTGATCACGCAACTTGCACTGTCCGACTATTTGATTGTGCTGCTGCTGAGGCGGAGTGGAAACGAGTTTCCTACCTTGTCAAGAGGAGCATTGACCGACTGCATGATATTGCCGAGGATGGTGAGGCTCACCGTCTCGGTAGAGGCATGGTTTACAAACTCTTCGCCGCTCTGGTTGATTATGACGAAAACTTCAAGAACATTCGTGAGGTTATTCTTGACAGTGAACAGCACGAAGCTACCGCACGCGTCAAGTTCCAACCGTCGCAGGGCAAGTTCCACCGGAACCCGTTCTGGATTGACAGCTTTGGACACCTGTCTGGGTTCATCATGAACGCAAGCGATGCAACAGACTCCAAGAACCAGGTCTTTGTCAATCACGGATGGGACTCAATGCGTTGTTTGAAGAAGTTCTCGCCTGATGTCACCTACAGAACTTATGTTAGAATGCAACCTTGGAAAGACTCCATCTGGGCTGGTGATGTCTACGTCTTCGATGGGGAGGATATCGTTGCGGTGTATGGCGCAGTCAAGGTGAGCTCGGCCCGCACTCAGTTTCAGAAGGTTCAATGCGCTAAACACTGCTGTCACAGTTCCAAGCCTTATCGCGCAAGATCCTCGATACGGTCCTGCCACCCGTTGGGGCTTCGAAGGCCCCCGCCAGACCCGCCGCCAGCGCTCAGAAGGCGGCCCCTGCTGCTACTAGCAAGAGTCGTGCTAGTGCCCCGGCTCCGGCGAAGCCTGCTGCTAAGCCCAGTGCCCCAAGCTTGGCCAAGCGGGCACTTACCATCCTCGCGGAGGAAGTGGGACTCTCCGAATCCGAGATTACAGATGATCTGGTGTTCGCCGACTACGGTGTGGACTCTCTTCTTTCCCTGACAGTCACGGGCAGGTATCGTGAAGAGCTGGATATCGACCTCGAATCCTCCGTCTTCATCGACCAGCCGACCGTGAAAGACTTCAAGCAGTTCCTGGCACCGATGAGCCAGGGAGAAGTCAGTGATGGGTCCACCAGTGACCCAGAGTCCAGTAGCTCCTTCAATGGTGGCTCTTCGACAGACGAGTCCAGTGCTGGGTCCCCTGTCAGCTCACCACCAAATGAGAAGGTTACGCAGGTTGAGCAGCATGCTACGATAAAGGAGATTCGCGCCATCTTGGCCGACGAGATAGGTGTTTCTGAGGAGGAGCTGAAGGACGATGAGAACTTGGGAGAGATGGGGATGGACTCTCTGCTTTCGCTTACTGTGCTTGGTAGGATCCGTGAGACATTGGATCTGGATCTGCCGGGTGAGTTCTTCATCGAGAACCAAACTCTGAATGACGTGGAGGATGCATTGGGCCTCAAACCCAAGCCTGCGCCTGCACCTGCGCCTGCACCCGTTCCCGCACCCGTGTCCGCGCCCATATTGAAGGAACCTGTACCCAACGCAAACTCTACCATTATGATCCGGGCGAGCCCTCACCCTCGATCAACCTCTATTTTGTTGCAAGGAAACCCGAAAACCGCCACCAAGACCCTGTTCCTGTTCCCTGATGGTTCTGGCTCCGCAACATCGTACGCAACCATTCCCGGAGTGTCTCCAGACGTGTGTGTCTACGGATTGAACTGCCCGTATATGAAGACTCCAGAGAAGCTCAAGTATCCTCTTGCTGAAATGACGTTCCCCTACCTGGCCGAGATCCGCCGCAGACAGCCCAAGGGCCCGTACAACTTCGGTGGATGGTCTGCAGGTGGTATTTGCGCCTATGATGCCGCTCGCTACTTGATCCTCGAAGAGAATGAACAGGTTGACCGATTGCTCCTTCTCGACTCGCCCTTCCCCATCGGCTTAGAGAAGTTGCCCACCCGGCTTTACGGCTTCATCAACTCAAAAGGTCTCTTTGGAGAAGGCAACAAGGCTCCCCCGGCCTGGTTGCTTCCTCACTTCCTGGCCTTCATTGATTCCCTCGATACCTATAGGGCCGTTCCCCTCCCCTTTGACGATCCGAAGTGGGCCAAGAAGATGCCCAAGACGTTTATGGTCTGGGCCAAGGACGGTATCTGCAACAAGCCGGATGACCCGTGGCCCGAGCCGGACCCGGACGGCAAGCCGGACACGAGAGAAATGATCTGGCTCCTCAAGAACCGGACCGACATGGGACCCAACAAATGGGACACGCTCGTTGGGCCACAAAATGTCGGTGGAATCACCGTGATTGAGGGTGCAAACCATTTCACCATGACTTTGGGACCCAAGGCCAAGGAACTGGGCTCCTTCATTGGTAACGCCATGGCCAATTAGATTGTTATGCATTGCGCCTTCCTCCAAGACTCCCGCCAGAACTGACAGCACTGCCATTCTACTGATGGAATTCGCATATTAATCCACTAATATTGTCGTTGTACCCCTTAGGATTTAAGCACACTATGGTTGTGATTGCCGTTGGCGAATTTTGTGCTGCTAATGGTCTATCTGGGTTTTGGTTTTTTGGAGTTGAAGTGATGATGATGAGAAAAGACGAACAATGTGATATACGAACCCCCTCATGTCATTTGCTACTTACTTCCTGATTGGAGTTAGTTGATATGTCTCATCTACGTACCTATATTGCTTGATTTTTATCTATGATAGAGAATGCCAATACGAAAAAAAAAAGTCATATCAAACTTGTGCCTATACTCAATTAACGTTATGAGCAGTAAGTACACAGAATGAAGTTTTACAAGAGCCCTTGGAAATGGTAGAATAGTAGATCACATCTTCATGGCCATAGCTTAGATTGTATGGTAATACAAAACCCCTCGAAGACTGAAAGGTATTCAAAAGTCCCAGTCATCACTGTGGCCGCGGTGGTCAAAAGAAAAAAGGAGAAAATCGCCCGATAAATGCAACGTCATCCACCACCACCACCCATCCATCTCATAGTAAAAAATGAATGCATGGTACGCATGATATCATGGATAAAAAGCAAAATAGAATAGTATGTGAACATATTTTAATTGTGTGTATGTTTCATTTAGTTGGTAGGTTATCTGATTGATTGAAGTCTAACGCACTGTAACCCAATCCCTAGCAAGCACAGCAAAAGGCCAAGGAACCGGGAAGTGGCAGTGTATGAGGAACTATGTAAGAAGATGAATATGGTTGATAAAACAATCACACCGCACCTACATACATTGTGGAAAGGGAGGGAAGATAGAGAGGAACAGTGACTTGAGAGATGATGAAGGGGGCCGATTGAATTGGTTTATTAGATAATCGGGGGTTCAGATCGGTGAGGTATATGCATGTTATGCTGTGTGGTGGCGGGGTGAGTTTGATAGGATAGGTAGATAGGGTGGATGGATAGATAGGCGGGGATGTAGTATGAACAGGGAAAGAGAACCTGATGCAGAGCCGGTATAGGTATGTATGCATGCATGCATGTATGCAAGGGGGGCGAATACGAGGGAGGCCGAGCGTCGTCGATTGATAAGTGGCGTTTGGCGGGGTGGGTTGGTAGGGTGTTTGTTGGTGGGTAGCTGATGATAGGGATGACGGATCGGTTCGAGTTGGAAGGAAGAAGAATGGTAGGGTAGGGTGGTATCGATGAGTCGACTAAAGGGGCATTTCGGAACTAAATCTGAGCGCACTACCGCGACCTGCAAGCGATGAACCATTGTTGATGCCAGGGCTCGTGGGCCGGCTATTACCTGCAGTCCATTTGGGGCTTCGCGGCTGCGTGCTGGTCGAGCGAGTCGACGGACGATTCTTCCGGATTTCCCGAAGTTCTTCTTCCTTCCGGCGGAGCAGATCTTCCCGGGACGTGAGGGTTGCTTCGAGTTCGAGAACCCGCGCGAGATGGCGGGCTTCGTCGTTCTTCGTGTTGAGTTCGCGCAGATGGGCTGCATCTCCCTCGACCTTCCGTTTCAGGGTTTCGTTCTCGCTGCGCAGTTGGCGAAGCTCGTTGCCTGATTGTGCGGCCACGGTCGAGGCGGTCTGGTATTGTTCGCGCGTGTATTCTGCTTGTCGGGCTTCGTATTCGGCTTTGCGTTCTAGCGAAGCGTTGTCTTTAGTCAGACGTCGAATGTCTTCCCTTGCTGATTCGAGTTCGGCTGCGCTGCCCCCGCCTGCTTTGAGGGACTCGCGGGCCGCTTCGAGTTCGTGTCGGAGCTGGGTCCGTTCGTCCTTCAATTTCATGAGCTCTTCTTTCTGCTTTTCGACTCGCTGGTCGGATGTGGCCTTAGCTTGGGTGAGACGGTCATGCTCCCGTCGGAGTTTGTGGAAGTCTCTGGTCCGTGTTTCGTAACGGTGCTGCAGCTTTTCCAGCACGTTCTCTCTTTCTTGAAGACGGGCTTGGGCTCCTGCGAGAGCTTTCTGGAGTCTTTCGAGCTCTGCTGCATGTGAGTTCTGCATCTGAACGATATTCTTCTCTAGCGTTTGGAGTCCACCGTTTAATGGTTGACTTGGGAATCCAGTCGATTCAGTGGACTGGGTTGGTTCTTGTGTCGGCTCTTCCGTCCTCGTTCTCTTGGCTGACTGTTCGACCTCATCGTCTTCCTGCTATCCCGATGTTAGTGCGACGCATCAGGAAGATTTGACATTATGATCGACTTACAAATGCTCGTTTATGGGCTTGAGAAGTCGTCAGTTGTATGTCGACACCAGGTCGACTGTGCAGCTCTTGTTGCGACGCCTCAAGCTGCTCAGGGCTCAGAATGTGCAAAGGCTCAATGTGAGGTAGAGACCAATGAGCGTTAAAGTTATCTGAGACAAGGCAAGTGAGAAGTTCTTCTGCATCCTCCTGCACTCCAAGAGCATCATCCTGAAGGTCACCAACCACGTCACGGAGACGAATGGAGTATTGCAGGAGTGTCTTCAGACGTTCCGGTTCCGGAAGACCGGAGAAACATAGTTCGATATGTTCACTGGAGTTTGACACTAATAGGCGAACCACCGGAAGCAGATTGCCATTGCGAGCGAATGTGGTTCGCATATGTTCCACCGTGGGTGTTTGGCTGCTGAAAGACTTATCTAAAGCGATGATAGCAGCAGGGGCTTTGTATGTCTCCATAACCCCTTCATTACGCGTGGTCTGAATCCCAAAACTCAAGGAATCCTTGACCATGGAAACCTCAATATTCGTGCCCGATCCCATTTCCTGGCGTGGACGAGTATACGACAAGCCCTTGCCCATCAGATAACGTTCAACCACCCGCTGAGTCTTTTCTCCTTGCACCATGATAACCAAATGTATATCACGCATGCTGGCTGACTCCAAAAGGTAGCTTAAGAGCAAAAACTTTGCGCTTGAGTACTCAGCCCAAGCAGCCTCTCTCCCTAGGTCCGACTCAGAGTCTTTGATGTGTTCCGCAATGTTCAAATCTGGGTGCGTAGAAATATTGCTCAGACGATCGAGTATTTCATGCATCTTCGGCACAAGAAGATCACGCTGCTTTGCTAGTCAGTATTAAGCAAAGTGACGGAGGGTGGACATCGAACCTGATAATCGCCGAGGAAATCGCGAATACTCTGGCTTTCGCTCGTCAGAACCCGTTCATAGTCATCCTTGACCCTGGAATCCATTGGAAGAGGCACAGCAAACTCCGACGGCCCAAGATGGACCGAACCAGGTGTTGGCTCTTCTGCGAAGTGCATGGACAATGCGCTAGGCTGAATAGTCTGGGGAGGTCCCATCTCCAAAGGCTCGACAAGGGGGATTGTAGTATCCTGGTCCACTTCAACATCTTTAGGATGTGTTGGTTCCTTATCGACTCGAACGCTAAGGGGAGCTGTCGTCTCCGGTACAGAAATCGGGACAGAAGGCTCTATGTCTCCGGCAGATGATGGCGTCGCACTTGATTCAGGGCCAGGGTTGGCTTTTGCGCGTAGTTGTGCATATGCATTTCTGAGCTTTTCCCTCGGGGTGGACCCTTCAAACTGGCTGTACTTCTCCATGGTATCGGACAACGACGGCCCTTCCTTCTCTTGACTATCCATGCTGTTTCTCGATCTTGAATGGAAAAGTTGGTTCAGTAATGAACGAAAGCTTGAAGTAGAAAGTTGACTCGCTGGGGTTTGCGGACCGTTTACAGCAATTGACTCGGGTATTGTACTCGCACGTCTGAATAGCTGGGGTTCATCGACTGGATTAGACGGGGTTTCAGGTATCTCATCAGCTTCTTCTGCCGGGTTGGCTGGCAATAGCGCGGGTAAGTTTGAAGTCGAGGGCGCAGCAGAAGATTCGTTATGCGGAGTTTCCGGGATCCCTTCAGTGACGTTCGGTGTGTCGGTATTTCCTGGGCGGTAAGGTGTGATCGGCGTCTCTTCGACTTCGTCCGAGACTATGGGTTCGCAGGGAGTCGAGATGATAGCAGCGACTTCAGTAACACGGGCAGTGGGTACCACTTCCGGGTCAAGTGGGCTGTCAGTAACCGATTGTGACGTATGGCTGGGTACTTCTGTATCAACACCGGAACTCCTCAGTAATCCGCCGGCTTGATCATCCAGAAACAAAGTAGTTTGTGGTACGGGGCTAGGCGGAACAAAGAGAGGGGTCGAGGACTGTCTAGACCGGGATTCGTCAGTCGGGGCTTCAGTCTGGGGCTGACTGGGTCTTGGGCTTAAGGAGTCTCTACTGTGTTCTTGAACACTGGAGACGGGTGGCGGTGATGGTGATGGTAGTGGTGGAGTGTTACTTCGAACAAATTCCTCTTGGGTCTGATCTCTTCGCTTTTTGTCCTCCCAGACTTGCACGGCAACGTCGTTGGCGTTTTCCTTCGGTTCCTGGTATTGCACGGCAGGCAGTTAGAACAGTGAAGCTCCCAGTACTTCCAACAAGCCTCCAATGAAGCAAGGAATGGCAGAAAGTAGAGGATAGATCACTAAGCTCACCCAGGTAGGCGTCCAAGGTCCTTCCCAGTCAATCAAGTATTGCGATTCGGTCTCGTCAAGTATACAGTTGATAAGCCACTCGTCTGCACTCAGAGCTTCGCTATCGGTGTCTGCCTCGTTGTCGCTAGAATGAACGACGTGCTGGGTTGTCCAGCGTTTCTTTCGTTTGTGGCTTGTGTGGCTTGTATATATCGTAGAAATAGACTTGCGCTTGCGCGGCATTATACGCAAGCAGAGAGCGTGGCCGAGGTGTAACAATCCATGGTAGAGTATTGGAGCTAAAGCGATGGGACGTTGAACGAAAGGTGGAATAGCGAAGGTAGAAGAGCTTGCTGAGGTCGCAGTGTTTGGAAATACAGCTATAGTCCAGGAAAAGGGCGAATCCTCGAAAGGGGGGCAAGGATGAGGGGTGTTTGGAGGAAGTGGATCATAAGATGGATTGAGGAACAGTCCAGCTGGTGATGAAGTCGACGGAACCAACGCGGGTGATCGACCGGCACGTGATGGCTGCTTATCGGCCGGGCCTACGGAGGTAAAGAAGGTATTCAGCTTCGGGAATCTCTCTATGGGACTAACGGTATATTTCACCTGATAACACTGGAGTGAAGTAAGTCTTTGTTAACAAGATCAATGGGAGGGAGGAGGTTGGTTTCAATGTTACTGCTATTTCGCCGTTCGCCGAAGCGAAAGACGGAAAGGATTCCCATGCACCGGTCTGCATTCTGGACTCGACCAGCGGATGGGCCGGTTCTTGCATGCGCAAAGAGCTTTATCTCGAGAAGATGGTTTGTAGCTGTAGCTTACATGTAGCACAAAATAAACGTGCTCCCTGTAATATCTGTAACCGCGTCTGGTGGAAGCCGCTGTCTCAACTCAGTGGTGGTTTCTACAGTCGGCAGCCCTAAAACTGAGGAACGAAGCCATCCAGAGGCCAACACGAATGTCAGTCAACTCACACTCATTGAATTTGACACTTATTGATCAGCTAGTATCGGATTACGAATAATCTGGGGAATCAATGAGTCTGATTTGTTCGAGGTTGTCTCAATTCCTACTATCGATATTAACTATTAACACCCATAGCCTTGGGTAACACCGGCTGTAATATCCCTCTTGTTCCAATTGTTACAGAAATACATAAGAAAGAGTGCTTAGTACATATCATATTGGCCAATGCTTCACTCTTGACTCCAGGGATTGTGGAATGCATGGCTTCATCACCATGGAGGATTTCATATACATCACTCCCCTTCGAGCTTCTCATATTGCGAGTGGAAATGACATTTATAAGTTGAACTATAGGACATATGCATTGGGCTCAACTAAATGGAATAGCTATGATATGCTCATTTTTTTTTTTCATGCAATAATGTTAGTGAAAGCACATCTCGTCCTGGAAAAGCTACCAAACCTGCAGAAGCTACCAAAGCGGGAGGGTTAGCAGCACTGCTTCCCGGGCACTTATCAGGAATGTGGGGAAGCTTTTGCAGCCATTTCTCTCTACCAACTAAGTTCCTCCTCCCCAAAATCAACCCTATCCATTACTTTTGCTTGCCCCATTAGCTTCCTCATCGGCCGCAACACCGGTCCAATCCTCAGTTCCAATCCCTCGTGGAAAAGCATAACCAAAAACAATGGAATCAGTGCACAAAATCCTCGCATCAGCGCGTGCCGCACCCTACGGAAATCTCCTCCCAGCCGGGGACGACCTATTCCTCTCCGTCGCCGAAGCAGTACATGACCACATGAAGGTCTACGATGCCTCGCATGATTTTAACCACATTCTTCGGGTCCTGGCACTATCTCAACATATCCTGCTCGCTGAATTTATCACTACAAAGACTTATGACCCTACCGTGGTCCTCCTCAGCGCGTAAGTAACCAAAACCATAACCACTTATCGTAGCCAGCCCACTACAAACTATTTTACTACCATTCCACATTCAATCTGTTCTAACGGGGAAAAAAAAACAAAGCCTTCTTCACGACGTGAACGACAAGAAATACGCCCCACCAGTTATCGAAGGTCAGCAGCAGACCTCGAAAGTGACTCTGGTGTTGCAGCAAGCCGGAGCCTCAGCAGCCCTAGCAGCTAGGGTAGAAGAGGTGGTCAATCATGTTTCGTACTCTACTGAGATCAAGGACCCAAAGAAGGTGCTGTCTGTTATACAGCAACATCCTGAACTTGCTATCGTGCAGGATGCGGATCGTATTGATGCCATTGGAGCCATTGGGATTGGTAGGACGTTTACCTTTACGGGAGCTAAGTTGGCGGGTGCTAGTATGCAAAATTCGAGAGAGCATATTGATGATAAGTTGGAGAAGTTGGAGGGAATGATGAAGGTAAGTCTTTTTGGAAGCTTGTGGTTATTCGTTTATGTGCGTATGTGCTAATGTGGGTTGTAGACTGCTACTGGTAGACAGATGGCTAGGGATCGTACGGAGAGGTTGACCATTTTCAAGAAGTGGTGGGATGAGGAGACGATGATGGTGGGGGTTTAGGGTGGTGCTTTGCTTTAGGGTGCTTTTGCATATTCAGATCATAGATTATGCATTTAGCTGCGATAGATAATAGTTAGAGAAACTGTCTTTGAATTTCTTTGACATCTATTGGTGTAGACTCGTATCTATCATTTAATGGTATACTCTATCACAGTCGAGAGTCTCGAGATCCCTCCTGCTCCTTCCACTTATCATAGTCAAACCCAAGTTGCTCTAGGCTCTTGATAGAGCTTCGCTCCTCGCCCTTCTCCGAAAATAGTCGCTTGATCTCAGGCATTCTTTGCCGTATCCACCTTTGCCTCTCACCACAATAGCTACACAGCTTCCCAGCACCGTTATTGTCAAGGCCTTGCCGGGGTGGCGCCGTCGCCGCCCAGTCATGCAAGAAGTTGTGGTAGTCCGCATCCTGCGGAAAAGGCAGCAAATGAAATGATGTCCCGTTGCCCTTCTTGACAATGTTTGCTTCCTCCCAAGCTTTCATCTCCTCCTGTGGTGGAAGGCTGAGCCTTCCCGACCAAACACGGGCGAACACCGCCGCCTGGTTTTCGGATAGTGGGAGCGGAATAACCCTCTGTGGAAGTGCAGGTAAGACCAGAGATGTGTCGTAGATGTAAAACAGGTGTTGGTACACATTCAGAGTGCGACGGCCATCAGTGATCAGAGGTGGGTTCAATGAAGAGAGGAAAGGGAAGGAGTAGAGATAGCCAGTGCAGAAGACGATGGCATCAATGTCTTGCTCGATGTGACCGTTTGCAAAGCGGACCGCTCTGTTGTGTGCATGAGGCGGTAGGAACTCCACTATTTGTGGAAGATAGATTTTATCCAAAGCAGTAGATGCCAGAGGGGTCTCTGTTCGTTGAGATACCAGCAGTTTTCCCTTGGACACTGCGTTGATTTGATTGCCAATATCTAATCCAGATGCCGAAGTTCCTACCACAATGACCTTCTTGTCTCGGAATGGCTCTGCCGAATCAAAGAGCCTCGAATGAGAGATCACATCTGGAAATGCCGTATTCCAGGTTTGAATCCCAGGGATTTCAGGGGTATATGGGACATCGAAGTGGCCACTAGCGACCACTACAGCATCGTATGAGTGCGTTCTCTCGACCCCTTCACGGAGGTTCTTGGTTGTAAGAGACCAAGCATGGAGAGCGCCTTCCGTCTTCCGCACATCCACCACCTGCGTCTCGAACTGTATGACATTTTTGATGTCTTCGGCATACTCATCCAGATATTTCTTTACGGCCGAGTGCTTCGGAAACACCTGAGAGTCCGGCTCAAAAGATTTGTCATTGAAACCCATCATCTCTTTGGGGATGTTAGTGTCCAGTGTCTTATACAGCGGGGACACAAAGACTGGCCCTTGAGACCGGTCGTTGCCTCCAGTTGGGTACCATAATGGCTCTTCGAGCGGTTTGTTCGGATCCAGTTGTGGCACCGGAGTGGTCAGTTTCTCCTTCAGGGTCCCCGGGCAGTAATTCCAGACTCCGCCTGCAGAGCTTCTTTTCTCGAAGACATCAACCCGCTCGAAGCATTTCTCGGCGAGAAGGTACCTGAGGGTCTTGTTAGTGACTTGAGACGAATGACACATTCAGGTGCTTTCCTACTTGACCGCAGCAAGACCGGACGGTCCAGCTCCGATGACAGCTATACGACGGATTGGGGTTGAAAGTGTCATCACTGAGGCAAGCTCCGAGCAGACAGTGAGAGTTGGAAGGAATTAGTATGTTTCGTCCTTGAGTCCGAGGGGCTATCGGAGGCGAGCCGATAAGCTCATCCCTACTTAACTACTATGTATTAGCTAGCAGATGACGATTGCATCACTCTCGTGATGGATGCCGTGCTCTTCGGCATTTCCCTAGCTGCTGATTATACCGATCAGGAAAAAAGTAACTATCTACACCATATCAGAGCTTAAAACTAGGATCTCTTCTCTTAAAATCTTGTGCGATCGCAAATGGGCGGAGATGCCCAATGAGATAAAGGGCGTACCGACCATGACGTAGATTACCCGCTAAACATCGAACTCCGCGGAGAAAATCACGGGTAATATTACGCACCGATACGGGGGGAATCTGGGCTCACCTCCGCATCTTTCCATCTTCAATTCTCCCGCGCGTCCTCTAATATCCGATCGGCCAACAACAACAACAATAGTGTTGCTTCGTGCAGACGCCATCCCGCCCGGAACATGCAAGGTTTATAATAAAGGACTGGAAATGCGGATATTACATGTTCATTAAGCTCCTGCAGCGATGGACGCTCACGAACAGCAACCTCCGGTCTCCGAACCTTTACGGTCGACGACCCCGATACCTATTGCGAAGCTCGCCCCGGAGCTCGAGAATCTTTCGGACAGCTCTATCCACGCCGTGGTGACCTTGTTATGGCCCTACTCATCATCAACTCGTTCTCTCAGCCTCCTGTTGGCGGAGCCGGACTTTCGCCTTCGACTCACGAATGGACAGGTCAAGGTGGTCTTCCATGGGCTGGTCGCGGAAGAAATAGCCAAGTCGCACGTCGGAATTGGCGATACTGTCTACATTAGGCTGGCGGGATCGAGGTTTGTGGACAATAAGGTGTCTAATCAGACGCCAGGGAGGTGCATCGCCTGGGACATCAATTATGATGATGGCGTGTCCATTGAGGTACTGTTTCGGACTCAGCAAGTAGTGATCAGTTACAGTCCAGTGCTTACCAGTATTAGATCTGGCGTTCTACTCAACATCTCTCCACTGTGCAAGTAGACCGCCCATCATCTCCGCCGCCCACTATCGACAATGCGATTGAAGAGGCACCATCCACCCCTCCTCCCAACAGATACCCTCGCCCAGACGGGACGAGTCAGAACGCTGGTCTACAATCGTGGCAGTCACCGGCTTTTGTCGAGCGATCGCACACATCTCTAAGCCACCTTTCGAGCTCCATATTTGACCCATTCGCAGAAGAAGATGGCTTCGTGCCGGGGAAAGGAAGGAAGCGACCAAGGTTTAGCATGCGCGGCAGTGATTGGCGTCTCGTCGATGAACCTGCGAGCCCCGAAGACATAGACATTCCGGGAGATTGGACGGCTATGTTTGACGACGAGGAATGGCTGAAAGCTGAAATTGGTGACGATGACGCGGAGGATACCAAACAGTCCCCAGAGCCATCTGAAACTCGCGATGTTGAACCAGTATCGGAGGGGCCGCCCGATGGCGCGCAAGCTGAAGGTACCGCTACTGGCTCCGAGCAAGTGACACCTGAGTCCACTACAGAGAAGAAGTCGAACGAATCAAGATCCGATGCGGAATTTCTTGTGCCTGGCATTGTGTCGAGGACCGAGGCTCCAAGCCCGCGAAGGCACGGCATACTCAACTTCGCTGGTCATCTGCCAATAGATACTCCGCGCCTTCATCCTATCCCCTCTCCTGGCCTTCCTGTTCCTTCACCCTTGGTTAGCACTTCAAACAGCCCTTTTGGGTATTTCGGAGCCGTGTCAACTACCGGCCAAACTCAGTCTACTCCACCGACAACTGTCAACCAGGATGCCGCCGATTTGGCACTTGAGGCTATATCGGATATGCCACCAGAGACTATTATCAGGAACTCTGATGAGCATGTGACAACAATGGCTAACGAGGAAGCTACCACTTTGTCCGAACCAATTTCACAGATGCGCGAAGTGGGCTCTGGGTCTGAAGGTGGCCATGCTGTTTCTTTACACGGAATGGCCAACTTAGGGACACAAGATTTAGAGGGCACGCATGCTCAAGATACGACGCCGTCTTTGTCTGTTCTTCAAACAGCCACTCCGCATACCGCCTTTACTTTCGGTATTGAAGGTGGAGATACAGAAGGGGCAATGCCACACGAAGAAGAACATGCCAAGGTGGGAGAGGTCGAGGAACGGCTCGAAGCACTTGGGCATTTTGAAGCACGGGCGGATTTCAGCATGGTTACGGAGAAAGGAGTTTACCGCAGCTTGGTTGAAACGACACAGCACGACTTAGAAGGCGAAGACCACGAATACGAGAGCGCTAGTCAAAGCTCAGTCATCGAGGACGCTCGCTCGGAGGCCTTAAGCGAAGAATACGTTTCAGAAGAAGACGAGCAGCCCGACTCCAGAGCAAGACATGACATCGAACTTATTTCTGAGAGTGAAGCAGAATCACCGGGGAAATCTCATGATGCCGTCAGGAGAGAATATGGATATTATCCCGAAGATGACGAGGAAGAAGAACTCGACGAGGAGGAGGAAATCTCTGATGAGGAGCCTGAATCTGAAGAGTTGGAGGATGATTATGATGAGGACGGATATGACGACCGTGTCGACTCTGAGCTCGAGTCACAAGAAGATGAACTGGAGGCTGAATCGCCTCATCCCATCAAGAAGGCCGAACCAGAGGTTATTGTGCTCGATAGCGATAGCGACGAGGAGCCTTCGCTAAGCGTACCAAGGCAGCCCGCTGCAGCACCGACAGCCCAATATACTCGGGAACCCGACGTATCCCCATCTGCGGATGAAGCATCCAGCTATGGGACATCAGAGCCAGGCGAATACGAAGAATATGAGAGCGAAGAGGTTGATGACGCGGAGGGGGAGGATTATAGTGAAGAAGACGACGAAGAGGGTGGCGAATGGTTTGTGCGAGACAACCAAGAAGCCCAGGAGCGAGAGGTCGAGCCGGTAGAGGCCGACTTGGTTCGCCAGAGCCGCGAAATCGATGGGAGTGAAGGATTACATTCCGAGGAAGTACGGGTGGCTCATACAATGGAGCCGCACAGTGATGACGAGGCAGTCGGCGTGGAGCAAGTATATCACGGACATGAGAGCGAAGGAGATATGGATATGGATGACGGTCAGCGGGACGCTGAAGATGCTGATGTCAAGGCCATGGGAGCCGAAACGGTCCAGGATGAAGAGATGCACAATCTACAAAGCGATGATGATCAGAATAACGATGAACAATCCCGCGACGAAACAGTCGACGACGAGAAGGCTCACTACGTGGATTCTCATGGCGAAGACGTAGAACAGGAACGTGTCGAGGAGCCAGCTGGTGCTAAAGAGCCAGAGGTGGTGCACATAGAAGATGAGGCAACGGAAGAACCAGTTCATCTTGCAGAAGGTCTTGAAGAATCCACAGAGGGTGCTGTTCTCAGGGCTCCATCTGAAGGCGCCAAGCAAAGCATCGATATCGACGACCACCCTGATTACGACGTCGAACATGAGGGATTGCGGACAACAGAAGTCATATCGCAGGAGGCACATCTCGGGGAGATCGCATATGCTCACGAAACTATCCATATCGCTCAACAAGATGGGACCAGTACTGAACCCGCTCTACAGTATCCTGAACCTCCAATTGATCCCGAGCTTTTCAGCGCGGGCACTTTTCCGACAGACATTAGTAGTGAACAACACGAGGCACATACCTCCCACGAGCAGATACAGGATGGTGAGGACGCAGGCGTGCCAGAACAAGCCCAGCACATTGACCCTAGCTTGTCGCTAGATGGTGCTTCCCAAAGCCTGGGCCTGCCTGACTCGGCTGCCCCTGTTCCCAAGATGCCAATCCTCCCACATGACCAGCTGGTGACTCCAGAGTCATCTCAGACAAATGGAGTGGAAATTCCTTCTGTCCCCGTCCTACCGGTGGATGCAGCACTGCCAACCCCTGAGCCTACTCAGGAAAGGTCAGATTTCCAGGTGGAAGACGAACCACAGCCTACCGTTGAGGTAGTTACACAAACAACAGCGACGGTAGTGACAGAACACCCTCCGCCAGACGAAGACGCCCAGTCTGAAGCGGAATCGATCTCTACTGCACCCGAAGAACAGGCAATATCGGATGACGACAAGGGAGCCCACACAACTCATAGCGAAGACGAAGTCCTACTCATCGGCCATGATCGCAAACATCTTCTCAACCTCAACCGCAATTACCCGGGCCTGCGCAGCAAATACTCCTACTTCGCGCCCCTCGCCACCCTCATCGACCACTACAATGCACTGACAGACACCATCTCAATCGTATCCGAGACTCGACCCGCAATCCGCTCCACAACAGGCAAAAAGGACTACATACTGACCTTCGGTGTGACCGACCCATCCCTCGCCGGCACAATCTTGTACGCCCAGATCTTCCGACCCTACAAAACCGCCCTCCCAACCTTAGAAGAAGGCGACGCCATCCTCCTCCGAAACTTCAAAGTCAAAAGCTTCAAGCACTCCATCACCCTATCCAGCGTCGACAGCAGCGCCTGGGCCGTCTTCAACGGCCCCAAGGAAGCCCAAATCAACGGCCCACCTGTCGAATACGGCACGGAGGAGCAAACCTACGCCACGGACTTGCGCCAATGGTATCACGAAGATGGCATGGCCATGGTAGCCGATTACCAATTACAAGCCTCGATTGAGCAGGAAAGTCGCGAAGCCACTCCCTACAGTACCGGTGGATTCAGTGATTCGGGCAGCGTGAACAACGTAGATGGGCGCGCGGACTCCTCGTTCTCGTCCAGTCGGGGCTCCGGCTCCGGCTCACGGAGGCGGAAATCCCATCGCCGGATTACCATCCATGAGTTGCGCGATGGGAGGAGATATGCCGAGATTGGGTCGCCGAGCAGTAAGGAGGATATACATGAGTTGAGGGATGGGACGGTGTATGCGAACTTCTGATTTCTACCTGCAGTTGTGTATAGGGCTTGGAGTTGTGTTTG